TATTTTTGTAATATTTCAAACATATAAATTATACTTTAAATATGTATTATATATATAATTGTCATATATATTTCAAATATATTTCAAAAATCATAATGACTGTAAGGAGGTGCTTCAAGTGTCTAACTGCTCTAGTAAAGGTCCCTTCAATAATTTTTATTAACTAACTCACTACTTTATGCTTTTACTCCCACTTGCCAATTATTTTTACTGCAGTATAAAGCAGCTGTGAAAAAATCCTTTGAACAGATAGGTAGATATACTGAATCCCATTCAGTTCAGTAGGAATTCTAGAGTATGTAAATGAATGCCAGGACATTCACTTTCAGAGTAGCTAAAATAAAGTCTTAAGATGGATTTCCAAAATTGAAGATTGGCCAAACCCCAACTGGAGAGGCAGCAATTAGGATGAGAATAATGTTTGATAACACACTGATGTTTTTAGTTGTTGTCACGCAGTCAAGGACTTTTCAGCTTCTCATACCGCCCTGCCAACAAGAAGGCAAGGGGCACCCAAGAAGCTGGGAGGGGACACAGCCAGGCTAGCCCCAAACTGGCCAAAGGGATATTCCATACCATATGACGTCATGCTCTGTATGTAACTGGGGGTGGGCCGGGAAGCAGCGTGGCTCAGGAACTAGCTGAGTATTGAGTCCAGGTGGTGAGTAATTGTGCTGTGCATCACTTGTTTTGTATATTCTAATTATTATTATTATCCTTTTCTGTCCTATTAAGCCGTCTTTATCTCAACCCATGAGTTTTATCTTTTTTTTTTTTTTTTTATTCTCTCCCCCATCCCACAGCGGGAAGAGGGGAGTGAGCGAATGGCTATGTGGTTGTTTTAGCTGCCTGTGGGGTTAAACCATGACAAAGGGGAAGTACATTTTAGCAAAACAGACTAGCAAGAAATTCCTAGTTTCACCCCATTGTGGAAAAAGAATTTCTGTTCTTTCTAAAAAAAAGTGAGAGGGATTTCAATCTCATCCAATAAACAAATGACATTTTCTTCAGGCACTGTAAGGCCCATTAATGACAATAACAATTAGAAAAAAAATGGAACTTTTCCCATTCTCTGTAAGAAAAAAAACTTTTTATTAAACCAGAAATGTCTGTAATTTCTTCATGAAGAAGACATGTCTTACACCTAGGATGACTATAATTTGTCTCACAGTAACCTGTAATGTCTTTGATTTGTCTTCATTAATGCTTTTATACTGATAGCAAATGAAAGAACAAGGGATCGCTCTGTCTTTATGTTCTAGAAGGAACCTGTAACATTCTAGTAACTAATATATTCACAAATTAATAAAATCTGATGTATTACAGTATATATAAACAGCAGCCCCATTAGGTTTGAAGAAGGTCTGATGCTATATTGTTAACTTTTACCCAATCATAGTCTGAATTGTTTTCTGGGTTTTTTTGTTGAATGATCCTGATTAATTGATTCATTCTTCCAAAGCTTAATAAACAGTGTACCAAATAGCAACTCAAGTCACTCACTTCTTGTATGCACATCTCCCCATGTCTTCACAACATGCTGCCTGTTGAGAAGTTACCCGTGGAGATTTTCAGACTAAATTCATACTAAAATACAGACTGAACCCTGCATTAGCATTATTTCAAGTATATAGGGCTGGATGGGACAGTCTGGATTATCAAGTTCATTTGCTATTTTTGAAAAAAGCAATGACGTATCCTTCTTTTCATAAACCGACGAATTATGATTTTTAAAACCAGTAAAAATTTGTTACCCTCAAAACTCCTTTTGGAAGCCTAGTTCTTAAGTTTAGTCTGATGGTTAAAAATTTTCCAATTTTGAGCCTAAATATGTATGGCTAATATCCCCCTTTTTGATCTTGTGCCAACATCGTCCTCTAGGTTTAAGTAATCCTTTTCCCTCCCTAGGCTTGCCCCTCTAATGCAATTTCAGAGGACAATCACATATCCTTTCAAGTTCTGTTCTGCTAGGCTAGGGAAGCCAAGCTCTTTTGGTCTCCTCATTTATCTGAAATTAAAACTCTGATGCACACTCCACATCATCCAATTATGCTGCTCCAGGCAGACAGGAAATTTGAAAAGAGAACCTGCCAAAATCGACTCCACTGAGCCATTCTGAAATTTATAATAGTCCCTAATTTGGAAGAGAGTTTGACTGAAAAAAAAAATAAATCTATAATTTAAAATCTTGAAAATAGGTACCATCCAGACCTGTGTTAAAACCAGGCATCTGAGATCAAGTAGCCTAAAAAACCTGAAGCTTGGCTATAAATTGCAAACACAATCCAATTTATACTTACCTACAGCAAATCCTTCATATCATAAACTACATGTCTTTTTTATATGAAGCTCTTAAATTGTACAGAACCCCTCAGGTGTTGCACCTTTTGGGTACATATGCTGCTTGACTATTATGATCCAAACATGATCTGTGATGTAAACATGTTTCTATATGATATGACCCGACTTTGTTATTTGAATTTTTTTCCAAGAGCTTCTCATGTTTGCAATATTGGCCATAAACCATAGTATCAGGCATATTTGCTTGTTTGTTTAATTCTAACACCTACAGCGGAACCATGCTTACTATGTGCAAAGAGATGGCCTTGATGTATCTTAATATACTTAAACAGTAAAGAAATTCCAGAAAACGTGCCAAAACACATTTAAAGATATCTAATTTTGTACTCACTAAGGCATGTATTGTCCTGGAAGAAATTCAGAAATTTCATGCATTCAGCTATGTCATTACCGCTGTTGCTGCAGTCACACCATGGGGCAACGCTGAGACTGTTTGAGTCTATGTAGTTTGGTGTCATCACTGTGCCTATTAACAAAGAGTGAAGTAAAGTACTGTGAGTAACCTTTGTGTTGAAATATTCTTTCCATACTAAGAAGATAGCAAACACCACTTGGTAAGTCATGTATTCAGAGCTGGAGTCACAATGCAGACCCATGGCAAGACTTTAACTTCCAGACTAAAGAGTTCCTGTCTCCTTCTGCCCTTTGACACCCAGCCCTGTGCCACACTTCACACCCCAGGTTGTTTGAATGTAACCACTTTAGGGACCGTAGCATGACTCATGCATTAAAGACCCGTTCTTTTCCTCCAAAAAGGTTTATATTGCATTCCCTCAGAGAGCTGCATCAGCAAAACTGACAAGTGGAAAACCATGGCACAGGGGAGGGATAGATTGAGAGAAGGTGGGAACCTCTTAAAAGGGCTTTCCTGCCAAATCAAACATATTTGGGCCTGTGCCCTTAGAGTTGCACTCCAAAAATCCTATTTTTCTTCCTCTCTTCTGTTTTTTCTCATTTTTGTTCTAGCTGCAAATAGATGCCTGAAACTGGACATCCAGACCTGAGCTTCCTCCCTGGGTCTGCAGCCAGCCTTGAAAAAACGTTCTGAAACACATGAGCAAAGAGAATGCTAGTCATGCTAAGAGGAGCCCTAATACGTCTTGGAGGAGCGTTGACCCCAGGGTGCTCATTAAGGACCTGCCAACAGAGTGGGTTATGGCGATGAACAAAGCAAAAACATGACCAGCATGCATAAAACGGCACAGTACATTCTTTGCAGGTAGTAAATTACTATTAATCTTGCTGTGTCGCTAATTTTTCAATATAGTGATTGTCTCCTAAACATTGTCAACAACTTTCAGCCACGGGTTCATTCTAACTCCATTACAAATTCTTGGGTAAACATTCTCACATTTATATGTCAACTCAAGACTACCAAGAATGAAATGAAACCAGATGATGCATTTTGTGTCCTAAAAGATATACAGCAACTGTTCATCACTCATCTGGATCAGGCAACCGTTATATGATCAGCACTTACTCAAACCAGTAGTCTCACTGAAGGCATTGCCCCAGCTGGTCAGAGATTTCAAACTTCCCTAAGGATTGAGAAGTTTGAACCTTTCTTTTATTTGTCTGACCAAATAGGAAAAATTACTTTAAAAAGGGCAGGTTTTCTAGGCTTGTACTGATGACAGCTGTTTCAGGAAACATGTTCCTCATTTGGTAATCTACAGTTCCAGGACAGGCTATATATCATGAGGAAATGTGATCACATGTCCTCAAAACTGACATCAAAGTAGTAATTAAGAAGATGGAATAGATGAAGGATAAATATTAGAGACCCAAAGTGTACACTAGCAGAGAAAATTTGGTCCATAGGCCCAGGGTTCCAGAGTCTGCAATACCACACAGGACAGGGCTATCAAACACCAAGCTAAAAAAAGGAACATTAGAAATAACACAAATCACAGAATGACGTCAAATAGCCTTTCAGTCACCAGGCAGTGCTGGGAACTGAACAAATCAACATGCAAACTGCTTCATACATGACGTGGGAGACAAAGGAGAAGAGACATTAAGGGCTGGCCTGAGAAAGGCAGTAATGTATGTGAAAATGAATGCAGTCCCACTGCCAAACTCACAAAAAGCATCTTTTGTCTTGTTTTGGGATGTTCTTAAATTAGAATTCAATTCCATACCTTTATCTACTTCCAACTTTTAACTGATAGTTGCAGTAATAATTGCTCAAGTTCTACATGAGATTAGCACATGAGTAAATAGCACAGTTCAAAATTTATTAAATGGAAGTAGAGAAATTAGTAAAATAGGCAAATATCATTTCCACCATTAATGAAAACTTGACAGTAGATAAATAAGAAGAGAAATGATTTTAAATTAAAATAAAACAAATGAAAATGTCTGTCCATTATCCATTTGATGGTTCCGTACACTATTTCAACCATGAGACATGATCTGAAAAGGAGTGAGAGAAAACTAAAATCAAGAGAATTTTGCAAATGGAAAGAAAACAGTAGGCTTAAAAAAACCAAAACAACTAAGTAGCAAACTCTTAGTGAAGGGTTAAAAAAATAGAAAGGTATTGAGGAAATTAAAAAGGTCACTGAGGTAAGACATTCTTATCACAAAGAGGTAACAAGGTAATTAAAATGGGTCAAGACAGGGGCTAAAAGTGTAACAGATACCAAGCTACGATTAGGGTTGATGAATACAGGAAAGACAGGACAAGGAACATGTATACACAGCACACAAACTGTACATCCAGCAAAAACAGAGTGGCTGAAAGAGCAGCTAGTAGAAAATCAGCCTGTCATTTAAACCTGGGGGCAGATGTGAACCCAAGCGGATTATATGCTTGGTTTCCTGGGGTGGATTTTCTTTTTTCCCTGCAATGTGTGTGCCTTCCCCTCCTCCCCGCCCTCCTGCTAGCTGGCATCTTGGAAATTCTGCTGAAGGACACTAACGGATCAGAGAAACCATGGTGGTTGACAGTAAAATAGGGCATGCTTAGTTTTCTGTGTTCTCTCTATCAAATAGTTTTGTGCTGGTCTCAGTAGGAGACAGTCAGGTCTCCAGATTTTAGACCTGAACATAGCCAAGAAGTTGCTCAAATTAGGGTCAATTAAGAATGAGGAGATGGATGGTAAGTCCAGGAGGAGGGTCGTGTGACTGGAGTTCCTTTGACCCAATGCAACTACAGTTTATTCACATAAACTCTCATGGAATTCCTGGGAATCCCAGGGAAATTAGATGGATTTTATGGAAAACAAGTGAAAATGTGTCAGAAAGTGAAAGCTAAAGCAGATCTTGAAGTCAACCACTGATGTGGGAGTGCAGACAGGTCCAGATGGCTTAACTAGGCTGTAACCAAAGCACTGAATCTCAAACATGGCTATCTCCAATCTCAGTCTACATTTAATAATTTTTATATTTTTTCTTTTTTTTTAATGAATTTATTATTGTGACAAGGATCCTAAAGCAATGAATTATCAAAATTTCTGTATAATATATGTAACTTTAAAATTAACAACCTGATACAAACCATAAAGAATCCTATAGAGATTGTTCTCCATTTAACTGGTAAAGCACCTGATAGAAAAACTGCCCGACTCTATTCCTACTTAAGTAATTTATTTCACTGATTTCAGTGAAGTTAACTCTGATTTACATCACTGTATGCAACAGCAGAATCACATTCACTGTACCTTCCACAGAGAATCCTCAATTTCCTGAAAAAACTCTATGGAGGTGCAATTTTTGCTACATTTAATGTAATAGCTAAATGAAATAATATTTTATCTTAATGAACAATATTTTATTGTAATTAAAACACCTGGAGATCCTTCAGCTCTGATGAATGAATGGATCTGTAACAGCTTCTTACCCACAGTCCATCTATCTCTTTGTCCTGTGTTTTATATATATTAAGCAGATATTTGAAATATTGTACCTCTGATTTCTATCTCAGCACCTTACAAATTTGATGATCTTCACATAATTTACTCCACTTTTATACCAGCTTGATATCAGAAGTAGAAATTTACTGCTTCAGCACATAGAAGTTTTGGGTTGGTAATTTTCTTGGTTTATCAGAATTATTACCAAGAAGTAAAAACTCAGGTAACACTAGTCCATACCCATCTTTTTTGCACGTGTCTAGGGGCTAGCAGGAAGAAAAATGTTTATTTTTCCCTTTGAAAATCAGATCTCCTTTTGATTTCAATTCCTTAGAGATCCACTCCACATTTCTGATGTGTGACAGTGTTTTGCAGCATGGTCATCCACAGTAATGCAAAACCACCTGATTGTAGGAACTGGGTCATCCTTGGGGTTAAATTGAAAAATGGATCCAAGAAAACTGCCAGCAAAATTCACTAGGTCCAGCAATAACTTCTTGGCAGCTCTTACCCAGAAGTATCTATTAGTAACAGTTACTCTTTGCCAGCAGCTAGACTTCTTAATCTCATTGACTAGATCAGATTTCAAGGCTATTCAATTCTTTGTTTTAGAGTCAAATGACATGCTGTCATAACTGCTTATATGCTATACCCTTTGCATATTGTCTTCATCTCTTAAGTCATAGAAGCATATCCTTTGAAACCATCACATCTTATTTTACCAGTTGCCACATGGACTTACCTCACTTGTTAGTTGCTAGAGTAGTAAGAATGATAACAATAAGCCAGCGAATATAGCTTTCAGTCATTTTTCAGCAAAACCAACTTATTTTGGATATTATCTCCAGAGACATTTATTTAACAGCAGGATCTGCTTCAGGGCCTCAGCTGGGACCTTCACGCCCAACAGAAGGGGATATTACTGCATCGCAGCAGGTGCAGGCTGTAAGCTTAAAAACATCTTATCTGGTGGCCTTTAAAATTAGTTTGTTTCAGAGTTTTGACATTCACTTATTCTTTATTGCCCAACCATGGTATTTCTACAAGTTCACCTTCCCTGAGATGATCTCTGTCTTTCAGGAATCAAAACCTGCATGTGGTATATAGAATCTGGCTTGCATAAAGGCATCCTTGTGCCTGTTGACAGGCAGGAAGGGTGACAGAAAACAAAATTAATTATTTTGGGGAGGGAAGAGGATTTCAGGACATAAATTTGGTCTCAGTTCACCTCCATTGACAGGCATCTCAGAAAACATTTAGAGTGGACAGAAGGACATCATGGAAAGAATAGCAGTGAAACAAGGCTGGGTTAGTCTGTTGTCTCATTCCTCAAATGTCCTGCAGACTTTCCCTGAAGACCAAGAGGTATTTACCCAACATTCTGATAACAGCTGCAAAATCAACCAAGCTGCAGTTTCACTTATTCTTTTTAACTTCCTACTTCACAATCCTGTCCAAATTCAACCACCTTAATAAACTTTACTTTCTAAGCTTGAATTTATTTCAAATTCAAGCATCTTTCTCTCCTTATCTTCTATCATTAATTTCCTTGCAATGCACAAATTTACCCCAGGGATCTCTTTAAGATAAAACAAAGCCAATACACTCAGGTGGAGCATTTTGCCTAGTATCATACTGTACAGTATTATATTGCACAGTTTTTATTTTGTGTGGGCCTTCAAAATACAGTTTTTATTAGACTGAGCAAGCCCCTCACCCTTCCCTCCTTTCTTACCAATAAGCCCCGAGTAAGCGAGGAGGCAGTCAGCATAGTTCTCCTTCAGACAGCTACTAACAGACCGTGACTCAGGCTGGCAGTTTGTGAAGAAATCTGCAAGGCGAGATCTGCAACATGAAGAAAAACGCATATCTTTAAAAATCAAGCCTGCAGGCATTCTTGCCTTTTACATTCTTTATTTCTGGACCAGGTTTAATATTCTTTAACTTAAATATATATTGGAAACATTTCAGCTGATGAGAATCTCTTTCTGAGACGCATCTCTTTCCAGAATCCATTTCTGAAGTCAGAACAAAACAGCGTAACAGTGAAAGGGACAGAACAACAGGGAAACGCCTGCCCTTTACTAAAAGAAATGCTCTGCATTTTCATGCCAAAAAAAAAGACAAAGACCGGTTTTATCATATGAGCAGATATTTTGCCTGGATCTGACCTCTAACTGGAATCTGTTACTCTACAGATTCAGAACACAGTTTCTGCTGTTTTACTGATTAAACAAAACGGTATGTTTGTGCTCACAGAGTCCTCTTACTATATGACTTGAGGCAGGACTTGCTTTGGTACTGCCCTGAGTTTCCAGGGAAGGGGCTTACCCCTGCTCTGGACTGGCCTGCAGAACCAGCTGGCTGAACTGGGGTAGCAGGCAGACCCAGATGCATGGTCTCCACAGCCCCCCGGAGCCATGGTACTGAGAATCTATTTGTTCTTGTAAAATGTGCATTTATCCAAAGTCTACAGTATTGAGCCCAGGGCTGAGAAGAAGGGTGTGTGTGCTCTGCATCAAGTTCTGCTGCTGAATGGCCGTATTATCTTCACTTACCTCAGTTACGCCATGTCCAAGAGTGGGAGAGCACTGCTTACTTATAGGAAGTGCTTTAAGGCTAGGGCTGAAGCTGTATGGCGATTAACAGATTACTACGATGCAGGAAAACAACAACAACAAAAAGGACTAGCAGCCAGGAACTCTTCTAGTTATTTGCACTTTAAAGGCCATATAATGCTCCCATTCAGGTCTGTAAAATTTGAGAGGCATCACTGAAGCGGGTCAAGGTCCCACATCCTATGGCCGCTCTCCTGCCCATCTTGGCCTGCTCTCTTCAGCTCCACTAGTGCTTTCATTTAGACTTGTAAACTTGGAGCACTGACTTTTGTTTATTTATAGGGTCATTTAAACCTTTATCTCCATGAACAAAATAATTTAACCTCCTTACTTTGATCTTCGAAAAAGGGGTGAAAATGTTCTTTTGCATATAACAACTCACAGTGATGTTTCAGGATCAGGTGCTTAATCTTTGCAAAGCCCTCTCAAAATCAGAATAGTATAATCTATGCATTTTCAGCACTGCTCTAGCATGATGTAGATTTGCAATATAAATGCTCTTTTTCACTTTTGCAACAAAACCACAAAACTTAGCAGAAACCAGTGATTTGCAAGTGATTTTCTTTATTTGTTTACATGCTCCAGAGACTAATTATCTTTGTTCGCTTTATTGTTTTACTTATCTCAGAATGGGATTGGATGTACATCATTAATTGGCCTGAAAATAGTGATGGGCAAACTTCAAAAGGTTCACAGGCTTAGTTTGAGAAAGCATCCTATAAATAGACTGTATGCAAACTGCACCTGAATTTATCTGAGATGTTCTCATGACCTCTTTTTAGTTCCATCCCTCCCTAACTGTACTGACACCAGCCAATCCATGGTTGCCTTTAAACCCCAGTCAACTGTAAGCTTTTCACTCCCTCCCTTCCCTTATTTAACCATTTAACCTTGAGATATATATCTGTACCCAGTTGCCTTTAAGAGCTTTAAAAAGTCAAGGTCTCTACCGATCCTTCAAGACATCCTATATGTATACATAAATTTCTAATTTTACATAAAATCTCTACTTTGCCAGTGAATATATACTGTACCTACTAGGGGACAGGTTGAGAAGAAGTGGATTCCAAGGTATGGGAAAAGATAAATAGCAGCACCATGAAGAAAATCTGCCAAGGAAACCCTGTGTCACTGCAGTGATTCCTCCTTCAGTCAATAATTAAGATAGTGGCTTGGATCCACCCTTCTGAGCAACTGGGAACAAAGGCAGTTGACAGTTCTAAGGTTTTTACAAATTCTACTAGTACCTGGATGAGGTCTTTTTTAGGACAGAAGAGAAGCTATTACATCTATCTAGTATGAAATACCTTTGCCATGGTAGAAGGAGCAAGCCTGCTCTATGTGCAGTATTTTTGCATTTCTAAAACAAAGTAGCTCCTGAGATTTAAATGTCATTATTTATGTGACCACAAATACATCTTTCTGGAGCTGCAATTATATGATCAGCATCTTGAAAATCCTGAAAACATTTCTTGCAATCATTTCATCATTCTTAAATGTCCGCTTCTCCCTTAGATTATTAGATGCATTGGTCCAGAGATCATTTAATACATTCCTCTTCTCTAAATGTTTTTAAGGACTGATAACTATGGAATAATACCAGTCATTTACTACCCAGTCTGCTTAAAGAATTTATTTGTTGTAAACCCTAAAGGAGGCTAAAAATTGCTCTGCTGATCCCTCTTGCATACAGCTTGATTTCTGTGTTAATTTCTGAAGAATTTTTGTGGTGATAAAAGGTAATGATCTGACAACGTTGCACATTTAAGTTTTCATAAGCCAAATATAATTCAGATAACTCTGGTCCAAGCAGTACTGGACATCACCACACACCTCCTCCCTAGTGAGTCATCCAAACTTCACACTATCAAAGTTCATACTCTCTCCTGAGCTGTTAACTATACCTGGTATTTATGTGGATTCATTTCCACTGGAGATAAAGTTAAGGCCAGCAAATAAAAACAGAGGCAGACCTCCATCTGCCATAAAATAACTCCATCATTTTCAGTGAAGACTTGCTGATTAACGTTCACTGAAGATCTAGCCCCAAACATTTCCAGTATAGTGGCACTGATGAAAGTGCACTCATCAGCAATACCAAAACAGTGGTACTGCTATTTATCTAGAGGAGACAAATTAGCCTAAGCAGGAACCATATTATAGTTTATCCTTAAGTATTGCACATGATATTAAGAATTGCTTGGGTAAAAGAGACAATCCTTTCCGGGATGCTGAAAAAGAACAATCGGATGATAGCAGTCCTACAAAAAATGTGTACTGTGTTAACT